AAAACAGTCAAGAACAAGACAAGGGTGTCCATTCTCACTGCTCTAAAGTACCAGAAGTTTTAGTTGTAGCAACTGGGCAAGAAAAATAAAAGGTGTACAAATAGGAAAGGAGGAAGTCAAATTTGCAGATGATATGATTCTAAACAGAAAAACCTAAAGACTCCACCAAAAGACTATTAGAAACTAACAAATGAATTCAATAAAATAGCAGAATACAAAATCAAAAATCAGAAATGGGTAGTTTTTCTCTATCAATTATGAATTTGCTGACAAACCATAAAAGTAACCCCATTTGCAATAGCCACAAAAACTATTTTAAAAAACCTAGGGATAAACTTAACTAAGAAGTTTCAATGAAAATTCCAAGCACTAATAAAAGAAATTAAAGACGACATTAAAAGATGGAAAGATCTCCATGTTCATTGATTTAAAGAATTAATAACATTAATATGTTCATACTGTCAGCTGGGGTTGTGGCTCAGTGGTAGAGCACTTCCCTCGCACATGTGGGGCACTGGATTCCATCCTCAGCACCACATAGAAATAAATAAACAAAATAAAGGTGTTGTGGCCATCTACAACTCAAAAAAAATATTTAAAAAAATGTTCATCTCTCCAAAGATATTTAAAGATTCAATGCAATCCCTTTCAAAATACTAATGGCATTCTTTACAGAACTAGGAAAAACAATCCTAAAATTCATATGGAAGTACAAAAGATCCCAAGTGGCCAAAACAACCTGATTTCAAGACACACTACAGAGCCACAGTAATCAAATCAGCAGTATAACAGCATAAAAATAGACATATAAACCAATGGAACAAAACACAGAGCCCAATGTTTTAACAAAAAGTGTTGGGAAAACTCGATATCTGCATGCAAAAGATTGAAACTTAACTCCTCCTGCCCTGTACAAAAATCAACTCAAAAACAAATCAAAAACCTTAAGGAAAGCCCTGAAATTCTAAAACTACCAGAGGAAAACATAGGAGAAATACTTCAAGATACTGGTACTTAACAATGGTACAGGAAATGAGTTTCTGGACAGGACTCCAAAAGCACAGGCAACAAAAGCAAAATATGACAAATGGGATAACATCAATCTAAAAAGTATCGACACAGCAAAGGAAACAATCAACATAGTAAAGAAAGAAAATATTTGCCAGCTATTCATCTGACAGAAGATGAATAATTCCAGAATATATAAGAACTCAAAAAAACTTAACAATAAAAAACAAGTAATATAATTTTTAAATGAGCAAATGAACTGAATAGACATTTCTCAAAAAAGAAGTACAAATGGACAATAAACATGAAAAAAATCTCAATATCATTAGCCATTAAGGAAATGCAAAACCAGATTATAATGGGGTCCATCTTACCCCAGTTAGAATGAATATTACCAAAACAAACAAAAAACACTGACAAGAATGTAGGAAAAAAAGGAATGCTTATAAACTATTGGTAGGAAAATTAATTAGTACAGTCACTATATAAAACAATATGGAGATTCCTCAAAAAACTAAAAATGAAACTATCATATAATCCAGCTTTACCATTCCTGGGTATATACCTGAAGTCATCATAACAAAAAGAGATACCTACACAGGACTAGGGTTGTGGCTCAGTGGTAGAGCACTCACCTAGCACTTATAAGGACTGGGTTCAATTCTTAGTACCACATAAAAATAAAATAAAGGTATAAAAAAGAAGGTGTTTTTTAAAAAGAGAGAGATACCAACATACCCATGTTTACTGATGCACTATTCACAATAACCAAGCTATGGAATCAGCCTAGGTACCGATCCATAGATGAATGGATAAAGAAAATACAGTATACATACACAATGGAGTATTGTTCAGTAATGAAGAATAATGAGCTGTGCACTCAGAAGTCTGAGGCAGGGGTGAAGAAAAAAAAAGTACTAAAAAAATAAAATAAAATCCTATCATTGCAGCAAAATGGGTGGAACTGAAGGATATCATGTTAGGTGAAATAAGCCAGACACAGAAAGTATTTCATACAAGGAACTTAAAGAAAAAAAAAGTTATTTGAAAGTAGAAAAATATAATGAGAAAGGTGCCACAGGCAGGGAGTGGGGGGATTGAATGGAGAGTGGATGGGCACTATGAACATGTGATATGTGCACGTATGGAAATATCACCATAAATCCCATTAATTTGTATAATTAGTGTGTGTTATTAACAAAATCCAAAGTACCTCAGGCACAATTCAGTTACATTTCTATTAAATTGCACTCCTTTCATCAGTGGACATTTCTATTAAATTGCACTCCTTTCATCATCTGACAGAATTGTTGGCAAATTATACAAAAATCCAGCATAATGATGTAATGAGATATCATTTTCTGCTAACTTTTTTCAACAAATATTCATTAATCACCTACACTGTACCAGACGTTTTATGCCTGTTATCTGAGCCCTGCAAGCTAAGTCTGATACTATTTTATACCTAAGGAAATTGAAGGCAGAGATTTCAAGTAGGATTCCCAATGGTCAAAGAGAAGATAAATTGAAACCAGGATGATCTATTTCCAGATTTAAGCTATAGCAAAGTTGAACTAAAACATACACACTAAACAAACAGAAACCGTTCCAATTTCCCTAACTACCAAAAAAAAAAAATCTACATTGAAGAATAAGTGGGAGAATGAGATAGAAGTATGATGGTAATGAAATAGAAAGTTAAAATATAAAGACAGAGTGTACTATCTTTTCAAAAAAAGGAATTAAATGATCAGATTTTTAACACTGAGTTTATATGGCTGGTAGTGAGAAAATTATTGACTAGGGAGCAAAACGGCAAGATTAGCGAATCAGGGAGACTATGTAAGAACATAAACACCACTTTAGACCAGAATAATTGAGACCCTCAACTAAGACAGTAGCAATGAAACAAACAAAAACAGATTCAACAGATAGTAATGGAAAAAGGATGACCTGAACTTGGATGAGTATAGTGGGTGAGATAAGGAAAGAGTAGTGGAATAAATCCAAGGTATCTTAGTCACGTGAATGCAATCTTGCCATTGAGATAGAAAACATTAAGGGATATAAGAGTTTATGGATACAAAATTGCATTTTGGGCTGGAAATATAGCTCAGGTGGTAGAGTGCTTGCCTTGCTGCACAAGGTCCTGGGTTCAATCCCCAGCACCCCCCCCCCAAAAAAAAATTACATTTGGGGTATCATAATCTTGAGGTGCCCAAGGAAGTTTTCCAAAAAAGAGAGGCATACTTAAGTTTGCAGTTCAGAGGAGAGATGTGGAATTCAGGCCTCTGGCCTGTAGAAAGCTTTTTCTGACCCTCTTCTCACCCCATAATGAAACCAATGGAACTTTATATTCCTTTCCAATACTTATCACATGAGTCAGTATAAGACAGATTATGCGCCTGCCTTCTTTAATGCTATTTCCTTGCAACACTGCCCACGGTAGACACTAAATATTTATGAAGAGTTGAATGAATAACACAGAACAGAAGCCACAGTACATGACAGGGGAAAAAAAAAAAAAGGGACCACTTTTAGACGGCACCATCAAGGGAAGAAAACAACACTTAAGAATAGAGCAAAGTAAGTCAGCAAAGGAAAGGAAGACCCAATAGAGTGAAAAGAAAAAAAAAAACTAGGTGAGCCTAAATTATTATCTCCACAGGATCAAATACTGCAGAGAAATCAGGTAATAACTTAAAAGGATCCAAAAGATTAAACCAGAGTTGATGTCAATTTGAGCAAGAAGTTTCAAAGGATGCGGATCAAAATAAAGGGGGAAATGAGGGAGGATGACGGATGTGTGAATAGTCTGGGGAATCAATGAAAATAAAGAAGGGGAAAGAAGGCGTGACTACTCTAAACGGAAAATGCCAGCAGAGGCTAGGGCTGCTGTGGGCTGATGTGTGAAAAGAAGTGTGGCAAAGTCAAGAGCCAACAAAATAGTCTGACTCACACGTGTTTGCAGTCTCCTTAAAGGAAGAGGAAGGGCCCGAATTGGCCACCCCAGGCATGGTGCAATCCCTCAGACTCCAGGGAGGAGTGGAATCCAGGCCCCTGCTGCTGCGGCGGTCTTCACTTGCTCTCACCCTGGAGCCACTGTAGCGGCTGCAGCCGTCTTCGTCGTCGTCGCTGGGACGGTAGCCAGAGTCCTCCCTGCTTGCTCTCTCCCAAGAAACTCTACCTCGGGAACCTTCGTCTTCACTTTCTCTCTCCCGGAAGCCACGGAGACGGCGACTGGCGTTTTCGCTAACGCTCACCCCCGAGGAGTCGCTGGCCACATAGCCGCGGTCCTCACTTACTCCGTCCCAAGAACTACTGGGGTAGTGGCTACCATCCACACTCCCTCTCTCCCAAGAGCCACTGAGTCGGCGATTGTGGTCTCTGACTGTAGCACCAGAGTCGCTCGAGTGCGGGTCGCCGACGTCACTTGAACTCAAGTCGCTGCTGGGGAAGCCGCGGTCTCCCCTCACTTTCACCCAAGAGCTGCTGTGACGGTGACCACCATCTCCCTTGACTCTCTCCCGAAAGGCACAGCGGTGGTGGCCTAAGTCTCCAACGACTCTCCGCGAGTCCCTGCGGGAGAAGCCGACGTCTTCACCCACTCTTCCCAAGGAGACCTTGAGGCGATTGTCGCCTTCTTCACGTTTTCTCTCCCTGTTGTCGGTGAGACAAAGTCCCTGGGCTTCGGCAACTCTTCCCCTGGAATGGGCGCCGTGAGAACCGTGTCGGCCGTTTACCTTCCACGCATGATGGCTGGTACGGCGGCCGCCGTCTTCATTTACTACTCCCCGCGAGTCGCTCTGGCGGCGGCCGCCGTCGGCGGAAGCCCTTTCCTCTGAGTCGCTTTCCAGCGTCCCGACTCCGGCCACCTGGAGGGAGTGGTGGCGGAGCCGTTGCCTTGGAAACGAGTAAACTTCCGGCGTGGTGCGGTAATTTCCGATTGCTCATTGATACGTCACTTCCTACTTCCTTCCTTTCACCTTTTTCAAGGCTTTGCTTTTGGAGCGGTGGGAAGGAGGTGTGGATCAGTTTTCGATGAGATTTTTGATCCATCTTGAAGAACCTATCGAAGCCTGAGGTTCATCTTGAGAACAGCTTGTCATCCATCTCGCCCTCTATCGCTCAGCGACCCAAATGGAGGCCCCAGGACTGCAGTCTGCGTAGGTGACCTGTGTATAGCGGGCCGGGTGGGGCCTTTTCGTCCTTGGCAAACCTAATATACTTTTTCAGTGCTGATTGGAAGAAAATCTGTTCTTATCCTGTCATTTCACAAATATTGAAAAAGACCTAAGAGAGAATTTAGCAGCTACAGCCGCTGGCGTTATTGAGTGCCTACTAATGCCGGGCTCTGTGATTATCTCGCTAGGTGTTAATCCCCATTTTACAGGTCAAGACTCAATATTATTATCAGTAAATTTCTAACGTCGGACAGCAGGTAAGTTGTAAAGCCGGTGTAAAAACACAGGTCATTCATTCGTCAAAAGACTGCTCCAGGTCTTCTAACCTCAAATCCAGATTTCTTTCACTGTAACATGTTCCTATTCAACAATCTGACTAAAATCTTTCTCTCCAACTCCATTGATTAACACAATCGCTTCCATTCACTATTTGTTGTAAATTTATGGGTCAGGTTTTGTGCCAGCAGCAGAAAATACTAAGAGTTTTCTGCCCTTCAGGGATATGGCCCACCTTGCTTCCCCTCTCAGCTGTTTTTTCCACTATTAATGCCTTACCACACATATCTTCTCCCTTCAAGAATAATGAACTGGGGTCCTGGAAACACTTTTTCATATATGTGCTGTGCTGTTCCTACTACCCAAAACTACCCTGCCTCCCCCATCCCCAAACCCATCATCCCACCCTCCAGCTTTGTCCAGAGGACACATTTGGGGAATTCTGCAGACACTACCTCTTCTCTTTTGAGGTACAATTGCCTTTCTTGAACATAGCATCTTGTAATTAATAATAAATTTACTGAATTCATAAATCACTCCGCCCCCACTATATGAAGTGCTTTATTTTAGTTTTCTTCTGTAATTCATACTGCAGCCTTCCAAAATAGATATTCCTTTTTACAGATCCAAAAAAAAGGCACAAAAGTTTATTGCTTAAGGATACACAGTAAAAATATCTGAGTGAAGAGTCCAACTTAGGTCCTTCAGTCTTGCTGCACATATTCTCAGAGTCTTAATTTCCACGACCTATATCAATTAGATCACTTATCACCTTTGTATTGTAATTGCCTATTTAACAGTTCTCACTTCCACCCCAACCTCCAGGGGTTCTGAGCTTCTGGAAGGTAGAGACTATATCTTATCCATCTTGGCATTCTTAACATCTGGAATATTTACTTCAAGGAAAGGGCTTAGTTGGAAGCTGTTGGGTGGATGAGTGGGGTGGCTTGAAAGATTGTCAGGTGGATGAACAGATAAAGTTTGAAAATAAGGTTTTTTTATTATTAAAAAGAAGTTTGGGATTAGTCTTCATTCCAGTCTGATTTCAGAAATGGGGAACTGTGGCCATTAGTCTTTCATATTTATTGAGTTATAAATATGAGCAATTTTATGCTAAATGGTTCACAGATACTTTAAACCTAATCTTTACTATTATTTTTATTTTTACAGATGAAGAAACAATTCAGATTGGCCAAGATCGCATAACTAAAAGTTGGGGAGTTGGAACCTACTAAAACTGACTCCAAATTAATACAGTGCTTGTAGCCACTTCTGTAATAATGGTAAAGGCTTTACTTTTTGCTATGTTATATAGGGTGAAAGAACTCATGGAGGGAATGAGGCAGCACATGACAAATCTTTAAAGGATACACACATACCAAGAAGAGTCAGAACAGGAAGCAGAAACAAGTAGCAGAGAAACAGATAAGGTTAAATCCCCCAAAATAAACTTAAGAGGAATTAAAAATAAAAGCAAGAATGAGCCAGATGTGGTGGCATACATCTGTAATCCCAGCAGCTCAGGAGTCTAAAGCAGAAAGATTGCAAGTTCAAAGCCAGCCTCAGCAACTTAGTGAGACCCTAAGCAACTTGGCAAGACCCTATCTCAAAAAAAAAAAAGTTTTTTTTAAATGAATATCCTAAAGTATTCTATCTTTGACAAAAGTCACTAGAAACAAAACATTAAGAAAAGAGAAGTGTTCCCAACTATGAAGCTAACGTAACCCTAACCAACTCTCTCAAAATTTTATTTTATTTTTTAAGTCTTTATTTTGTTTATTTTTATGTGATGTTGAGGATCGAACCCAGTGCCTCACACGTGCAAGGCAAGTGCTCTGCCATTAAGCCATAACCCCAGCCCTCTCTCAAAATTTAAATATACATTAGCTATGAATTAGCAACTGTCTGGTTGTAAAGTCTTCAAAATAACTTGCTGATATACATATCTTATGATAGTCATTACAACACTTTGTAATTATAATTAATTAGGAAAAAACTTGAATATCCATTGGTAAAAGAATGGCTGAATAAATTTTACTACATTTATAATACAGAATATTTCAGAGTGGTAGAAATGCAAATCTAAATGAATTAATCAGCATGGAAAGAATTGTAAGATAACAGTGAAAAAAGATGTAAAATAATATATGTATGTGGGGGCTGGGGTTGTAACTTAGTGGTAGAGTGCTTGCCTAGCATGTATGAGGCACTGGTTTCAACTCTCAACACCACAAATAAAGTCAAAGGTCCATTGACAACTAAAAAATATTTTAAAAATTAAAAAAAAATTATATATGAAATCCCATTTAATTTTTTAAAAGAATCATAAGCTTAGAAAGGATCTATACCATATTGTTAACTCAGTGATTATGCATAAGTGAAGAGAGGGTATGAAAGTATTCAATTTTTTATGATTGTTCTTTTGATTTAGGAAAAAACTTTAAATCCTTACCAAATTAAAGATAGAAGCAAAGAAAAACATTTACTGTCACATAAAGCAAAGAAGGTAGTTTAAGAAATAATGAGCCAAGAGAGATTAAGGAGCTAAGAAAAGGACACTAGTTTTAGCAAAAAAATCATTGATATACTGAGGAGAGCAATTTTAGTAAAACAGTGTATTAAAGATATAAAAACCAGATTTGTACAAGATTTCAAGGTAAGTGGCTAATTTTAAAGGAAGTTTCTTGCCGAGCATGGTAGCACATGCCTATAATCCCAGTGGCTTGGGAGGCTTAGGCATGAGGAATGCAAATTCAAAGCCAGACCGAGCAACTTAGGGAGGCCCTGTCTTTAAATAAAATATTAAAAGGACTGGGGATCTGGCTCAATTGTTAAGCACCCTGGGTTCCATCTCTGGTACCAGAAAATAAAGGAAGTTTCTCAGTTGAAACAGGGTTCAGAATTCATGCTGGAGGAGACATCTAGCATTTCAGAGAATAGAAATTTGTTTTTGAGTTGGAGATTGTGGGTCCAGTTTGTAAAAATTGCTTTCACCAACTTTTCCAGAGTAAAGTGATAAAGTATGGTCTGTCTCTCTCATCTCCCACAAATCACCTTTTGATATCTAGTTCCACAGAAGGGAGCAGGGCCAGCTATAGTCATATAAGTTACTTGGGTTTTAATTACCATCTCTTTCTGCTCATGTACTCTAAACCCCCATGGGATAGTCTCACTGTTTTCCAGGCTGTCCTGGAACTCCTGGGCTCAAGTGATCCTCCTGCCTCAGCCTCTCCTGGATACCTGGAACTACAGATGTGCATCACCCTGACTGCCCATGTACTCTTCTCTTTTACTCCCAGGCATTCTTGTTCTCTCTTTGGTGCTTACCTCCAAATCCTCTCTGAGGTACCCTGTGAATACATTTTGGTTCCTATTTAACTTAACTTGTCCTCCTCTGCCCAAAAAAATACCCATTATCTCAGGGAACTGACCCCATTTAGGATTAGGAGAGAACTTCCAGCTTCACAGAAGTTCAGGCATTTGACAAAAGCTCTTGACTTTCCATTTCTGCCTCCAATTTACCTATTTAGTCAACTACATCTTTCTATTTGCAGGTGTGGTTAGATACCTCTTTAGGTTTTCCTGAATATTTTTCATAAACCTCTTTCAGGGTGCTAACTAGTCTGCAAGACCAGCCGGCCAGCCAAAAAAACATAACTAGAATATAGACACCTCCATTTTGAGTTAAACTGTTACATAGGAATTACTAAATTTGTAAATTATAAGTCCTGATTTTTTTTCTTCCCAATGCTTATTTTTAACTTGTTTTTTTAACTTACTTTGAGATTGCTTTGTATTTTCCAGACCATCAAAATTGGAAAAGTTACACTAAGACCAGATAATATTATAAAGTAGGTATAAACTTAATGAAATGTCTACATTTTGGGGCATACACAACAATCTTCCTTTTATTCTTTTGCAAACTTGAACTCTCAAATTTCAAATATAATGTTCCACCTTTTCTGGGGCTTCCTTTAGCTTTTCTTGGCGCACTTTTCAGTGTTGATTACTAATTCTAGCTCCCAGTGCTGTGTTGAATATTAGTTGGTACCAAAATCTAAGGTGGCTGATTTCTAAATTGATTACTCTATCTGGCTGTTCATTAGAATTGACTGCAGAGCTTTCTAAATATGTGAGGTGCCCTTGAATGAGAATCAACTAAATGAGACTTGATAGATGAGGAATCTCTTAACTTTCACTGTGATTCTAATAGGCAGCTAAATTTAGGGCAGCGCTAGATCATTACCCCACATCTGGCTTCCCACCTCAGGAAAAATAGGAATTGAACTCTGAATTCCAACAGTAATTACCAATGACCATCTCACAAAAAGCATTGTCCTTCCTCCATTCCAAAGTTAGACCCTTAAATTTCATTAACTCACATCCACACTAACCTTTGTATCTAGACTTGGCACCCCATACTCAGCAGTTAAAGTATTTCTCAGTCTTACCATATATTTGTGACTTAATTTGTTGGCTAGCCCATCCCTTAAAGGTGTTGATTTTTTTGTTTTCCCTATTGCCAAGTTTTTCCTCCTCTACTTTTCTTGCCTTTTTTTTTTTTTTTAATTGGGATGTTTCTTTTTGTTTTGCTTCCCTTCCCCCTTTGAATTTGTGGTTTATAATATTTACATTCTTCAGGACAGAGTCCATGTTAAATCTCTCATTTTTAACCAAAAATTTAATTATACATGAAAGTAAGAATGTATTTGGGCAGAATATACATACATAGAGTATAACTTAATTCTATTTAGGTGTAGTCATACATGATGTGGAGTTACCCTGGTCTCTAATTCTGTTCTTTCCTGTTCCCCTTCCTAGTCCCTTTTCCTTGTTTCCCTTTGTCTAATCCAGTGGGCTTCTATATTCTTCCCCTCCCCACCCTCCCTTGTTGTGGTTTAGCATCCATAAATCAGAACAATTGGCCCTTGGTTTTGGGGGGGATTGTCTTATTTATCTTAGCATGAAATAAGATCTACCCATTTACCAGCAAATGCCTTAATTTCATTCTTCTTTATGGCTGAATAATATTCCATTGTGTGTATATACCACATTTTCTTTACCCATTCATCTGTTGAGGGACACCTACATTGTTCCATAGCTTGGCTAATGTGAGTTGAGCTGCTGACATGAATATTTGCCTTCTTTCTTTAGCACTTTTTTTCCCTTATCTTCCCAGCTGCCAGCTTTTTATTTCCCAAGGAATTGTCCTTGGCCCTCTTCTCTCTCTTATGGATACACTTGGTATGCTGATAGGTTTGAATATCACCTTCCTTTTGAACACTCCATACCTGTGTTTGATTAAACCTATGCAGTGTCTCCAGAAAAATGTATAACAGAAAATTCAGCCTACATTTTTTAATTCACAGACCCCCAAAATTCTTCCATTGCAGCATTCATGTATACTGAAATATATCACTTTGTTTAACATGTATAATGGCTGCATGTCCAAGAAAGTTCATCATCTATTTGAAAATTACCAGGTTTTAGTCATGAAAATCAATTTTTTAGAACACATGACCCATTTGAATCCTTTACATCTGCTATTAATTCTCCAAAAGATATCCTTCCTATCAATGTGGCTTTCACTTACAGTTATCCTTGAAGCTCACATATTACCATCTTTGTAAAGTATTCCTTAACCCACCTCCAGGTGATTTGGTATGCCTACTTCTATCTTAGCATTTATCTCGTTTTTTATTTTTATTGCATTAGTACTGGAATAAGACAAAGGCAGGTTCAAATTTTGTATAACATCTGAAGTGAGTAGCTGAATTTTATCTATAAAATGGAAATATCATCTATCATGTAGCATAGTTTTAAGTATCAAAAAAAATACTTATAGAAAGTCTGCCAGTGCCTACCACATAGTAAGACCTCAATAAACAAATATGTTTCAGTGTTTTATACCTATCTCCTCCGAATAAATGGCAGGAGGTACTCATCTCATGTCTCAGAGTACCTGGCTCATAGCAGGTACCGCGCATATGTTTTTAAAAAACAAGTGATGAAAAAGACATAAGAAAAAAGCAAGCACATTCCAAAAACTCACTCAAGAAATAAAGAAATACAAACCAGAAATTTCTTCATCATTCTATTTATTACATGTATGAATATTAACATCTCATGGTATCCATCTAATTCAATCAAAACCAACAAAGGAAAAAGGTTAACCATGTTGCAAATGAGCATTCTTACAGATTCCCCTGTAACTTAAAATAGAAATATGTTCATCTGCATTAAATCATTTGACAATTTGAAAAATATCTTTAAAAAAATCATGTTTAG